TTGAAATAAGGCACGAGCTTAGTGGCTCTTTCTTGTACTGCTTCAAGAGCGTCAATGTCTCCGCAATAATAAGGGGTTCTATGCGGAAGAAATTGTATATAATAAAATAAAAATACTATTAAAAAATCTTGTAAAAATATTTTTTCATTTCTGTTGAAAATTGTTATTTTTTGTGCATTTATAACAACAATTATAATTTGTTTTATTAAATGATGATTATTTTGAAAACTTTTGTATAGCTTAAGGGGTAAACAGATTCTATCTGTTGACCAGCCTCGCACCCCTTCCTCATCTATTAGGCTGGCGCAGATGTATTCTTAATACATTGTTTCCAGTTTAGGATGTTGAACGCTGGATCTTCTTGACTCAATGCATGGGTATTGCTTGTGTCTCTATTTTTATGACTGGGCAACTCATTCTATTATCTCCTAATGAGGGTACAGCTCTAAAACTCAGTTTTATGGTTCTGAGGCCGGCTGGTAGTCAGGTTTCCCGAACTCTGTGGTAGCTCTCAGAGAGGCTGATTCCATCAACAGCCGAAAAATATCAGAGTACTAACAGTGCCATGTTGTGCATGGATGGTGTCCCTGTTTGTACTTTTGGTGTGCATTGCAGAGGCCACATTTGGAGCCCTTTGTTACGGCTTCGGGTTTATTAATAGTAATGAGGCTATTGCTTAGTTGTTAAATAGTGTACTGAGTACTATCTATACTTGAGTCAAGTTCTTTATAAATTTAAAATGACTAAAGTACCTAAAACTAAAAAACACAAAAAACCATCGTCATCACCAAGTTCTCTAAACCTATCATTTACTAATATTCGTGGTCTTCGAAGTAACTTTTCTTCTGTTGAGTCTTATCTCTTGCAAAGTTCACCAGACCTACTTGCTCTTTGTGAGACTAATTTGAGTTCGGCTGTCCCATCTTGTGATCTTAGTGTTGATGGTTATCTTCCTTTAATTCGTAAAGACTCCAATAATCACATGCTTGGCCTGGGCATCTACATTCGTAAGAACTCACCCATTTATCGTGAAACTAGGTTTGAATCTACAGACTATTCATTTATGTGCTTTCGTTTAGCACAACTTCACTCTATCGCCTTTCTCTTTGTTCTATATCGCTCTCCTTCATCCCAAGATTGCACTATTCTTGATGTTATTTCTGATCAAATTGACCAAGCCCTCTCTCTTTATCCATCGGCCAATATCGTCGTTGTTGGTGACTTTAATGCCCATCACACCGATTGGCTTGGCTCTAGTGTCAGTGAATCTGCTGGCGTTAAGGCCCTCAACTTTTGCCTTTCTCAATCTCTAACTCAAATAGTCAACTTTCCAACTCGTTTTCCAGACAACCCAAAGTATTTACCTTCTCTACTCGACTTATGTCTTGTTTTGGATCCTAGTCAGTGCTCAATTTCTCCACATTCACCCTTAGGTACTTCTGATCACGGTTTGATCTCTCTAAAACTATTATCAAATTCTTCTACTTCATCAGAATCCCCCTATCATCGTACCACATACAACTACCTTAAAGCTGACTGGGACTCTTTCCGTGATTTTCTTCGTGATGGCCCTTGGGTAGAAATCTTTCGTCTTCCTGCTGACAAATGTGCTTCTTACATAACTTCGTGGATTCAGGCTGGCATGGAATCTTTTATTCCCTCTCGACGATTCCAGGTCAAGCCTCACTCTTCTCCTTGGTTTTCCTCACATTGCGCTGCAGCAATTTCTAATCGAAACCGTTACTTCCATATCTATCAGCAAAACAATTCTCCAGAAAACAGACATCTGTTCACTATCGCCAGAAACCATTGTAAAAAGGTTTTGTCTGACGCCAAAGCTCGCTATTCCCAGGTCATTAAATCTCGTATCTCATCACAAAAATTAGGCTCTCGAGACTTCTGGAGAATCTTTAACAGTATCAATAATAAGGGCAAATCTGTTATTCCTTCTCTCTTGTATGGTTCAGACTTTGTCACCTCACCTAAAGACAAAGCTGAATTGTTTGCTAAGAACTTTTCACCAATATCATCTCTTGATTCCACTAGTTGCGTTTTACCTGACATAGCCGTCAAACAGGTTGATCCCTTGCTTGACATTCGCATCACTTCAGCTTCTGTATCTAAAGTAATTTCCTGCTTAGACTCTTCAACAGCTTGTGGTCCTGACAACATTCCTGTTGTAGTTTTGCAGAGGTGTTCTCCGAAGCTTTCATCCATACTTTCTAAACTATTTAACAAGTGCTTATCAGAGTCTTGTTTTCCATCATGCTGGAAAGCAGCATCTGTTATCCCTATTTTCAAAAATTCCGGAGAGCAATCTGATTCATCTAACTACCGTCCCATTAGTCTTCTTCCTGTCATAAGCAAGGTTTCTGAATCTTTAATCAACAAACACTTAATCTCTCATCTTGAATCAAATAACTTACTTTCCGATCATCAATATGGATTTCGGTCTTCTCGTTCTACAGCTGATGTGCTAACAGTAATAACCGATAGGTTTTACCGTGCATTAGATAGAGGTGGAGAGGTTAAGGCTATCGCACTTGACATTTCTAAAGCTTTTGATAAAGTTTGGCATGCTGGTCTTCTCCATAAGCTTTCTTCTTATGGTGAGCTGGTAACGTCTTTAAGATTATTGAGTCCTTTCTTTCCAATCGTAGTATAAAAGTTGTCCTCGATGGACAACACTCTTCTTCACATCCTGTAACTTCAGGGGTTCCTCAAGGTTCAATCCTTGGCCCTATACTCTTTTTAATTTACATTAACAATCTTCCAGATATTCTCACATCTAAGGTGGCATTATTCGCTGACGACACTACCATTTACTCTTGTCATGATAAGAAGCCTACACTCTCTGATTGCTTGGAGGAGGTATCTGAGCTTGAAAAGGATCTCACTTCTGCTACAGCATGGGGCTCACAGTGGCTGGTGAACTTTAATTCAGATAAAACTCAATTTTATTTGGCCAATCGTTATCGTAATAATTTAGATCTTCCTATATTTATGAGTGGTAATGTACTAGATGAGTCATCTACCATTCATCTTCTAGGATTAACTCTTACTTCTGATCTTTCTTTTAAACCGTATATCAAATCCATTGCAAAATTAGCATCTGCTAAGGTTGCATCTCTTTATCGAGCTCGACACTTTCTTACTCCAGATTCTATTCTCTATCTCTACAAATCTCAAATCCGTCCCTGTATGGAATACTGTTGCCACATCTGGGGCGGATCTTCTAATGATGCTCTTTCTCTTTTAGACAAGGTGCAAAAACGAATTGTAAACATAGTTGGACCTGCTCTGGCAGCCAATCTCCAACCTTTGTCACATCGTCGTAATGTTGCTTCTCTTTCTCTTTTCTACAAATACTATAATGGGCACTGCTCTAAAGAGCTAGCGTCCCTTGTGCCATCTACTAAAATTCATTCTCGTGTTACTCGCCATTCAATTAAGTCTCATCCTTTTTCTGTGACTGTTCCTAAGTGCTTCAAAAACTCTTATTCTTCTAGTTTTTTTCCTCGAACATCAGTTCTTTGGAATTCGCTTCCTTCATCTTGCTTTCCTGATTCATATAATTTGCAATCTTTTAAGTCATCAGTCAATCGTTATCTTGCTCTACAGATTTAGTCTTTTCTCTTCCAGTAACTTCCAACTCTTATAGTGGTTGCTTGCAGCCTTGTTGGAAGTGAAGATGTTAAAAAAAAAAAAAAAAAAAAAAAAAAAGTTTCACATATATGTATGTATGTATGTATGTATGTATGTATGTATGTATGTATGTATGTATGTATGTATGTATGTATGTATGCATGCATGCATGTATATATATGCATGTATATATATATATATATATATATATATATATATATATATATATATATATATATATATATATATATATATATATATATATATATATATATATTAGGGTGGCCATAAAAATAACTTTTTTTGTAAATGTCTGCTTCTTCCCCCTATATAATTCAGTGTTGTTTTATTGTATGTGTCCTATATAATAAAGTAACGCAACGCAAGACCCTTAAATATCAGACAGGTCCAAACATGATCAAAAAATATCTTGTTGTCTAAAAAAAGTATGTCATGTTGGTCTCAAAAGGAGCAAAATAATAAAAAATATTCAAAAATAATTATATTTATATCTCAAGACCCTTAAACATTTAATGGGTCCTTAATATTATCAAAAAATTTTTAAAAATAGGTCAACCTGGTATCCAAATGAAGCCAAATTATATAAAAATATCAATATTATAAAAAAATGTATAAAAAACTAATGATCATTTAATTAAAAAATTTTATTTTTGAATTAACTGCATGAAATATCCTGATAACTTGAACTTCCAAGGGACCAAGGAAAATTGTTCTACTTAGGAAATGTTCCACTAAAGCAAACTCCTGATAAGTCTAACTTAGGCTGAGATAAGGTATTTTTTTTGAGTGAAGGCAATTTTTTTTTGTTCAATGCTAACGTATAAATCTTAAATAATTATAAAAATATTAATTAACTATAAATATTAGACCATTATATTACATACGAAAAATTTCAATTATTTGAAGAAATTTGTTAAAAAAGAATGAAAAAATAGTTAGACAACCAATCAACCAAATATATTTCAAAATAAATTGTAGTATTTCAAGGAAATTTACAATAGAACAAGTGTTAATATAAAGTAAATACTTGAATAAGAACAAACCTTGAGTAATCTGAGATTCAACTTATTCAGAGAATTTTAATAGTAATTAATTAAATGATTTCAAGGGACCTAATGAAACAGTTTGAAATAACAAAAGCTTGAGTTAAACAGAGTTCGACTTACAGGAATTTTACAGGAGTTTTTAACATACCCAAGACTTGCTTGGGTATGTTAAAAACTTGGATACTCAAGCTAAAGTGCTTTATGAAAAATTACTATAAAATTTGTATTTATCTTATCGTAATTTAATTCTAGAATTTTCAGTTCAGACAGAAATGAGTAATTTCTTACCATACAGTATTCCATATTATATGTACTAACATAATATGTTGAGAGTAGAGCTGATGCTAAAGGGTCAACAACTTGAGCAACAATTCCACACTCATCTAAAAATAAAAATGAAAAATTTATAAAAATAATACTTAAATTTTACATATTGCTGATAAACTAAGAATAAACAATTGAATATTATTTGTTCTACACACCAAAACCCAAATCATCTCCAATGATTACCATCCGCCAGGTTTCTTCATTTTTCCGTGTATAAAGAACATTGTTAGGAAATCTTAAAGCAAAACCATAAAAATCCATAATTATAATTTTTTTAAAAATTAAAGTCACATTTATATTATTATTATTGTTATTTTATATGTATTTAAACAGATATCTGTCAACAATATTCTAGATAAATAGTAGATAAATCTAAAGAAATCTTCAGGAAAGAACCCTTAACAAGGACTTATCTACTGTTTGACAAGTTAACAAGTTTTGTTCATTTCACAAAAAAACAAGAAGTTTCAAGTTATTTAAACTTGGATTTTCTGTATTATTATGCTTAATGAATAAACTTGGATTGTCTGTCTTTGTATTAAACTTTGAATTCGTTACAAAAACTTTTTGTTTTTGCTACTAAATATTAGAAAATATAAAAATTAAAATGAGGTAAAAGTCTTGAAGTTTCAATTTATTTTTTCCTCATAAAAAAAACAAAAACAACTCTTTTAAAATATGATTTAAATTTTACTTTTGTGGTTAAAGTAACTTAATATGATAACAAAAGAGTCATTCCATATTAGATCACTTAATGAATCCACAGGTTGGTATTTGAAATTTACTTCAAATTTTGACCACACATAGATTTTATGTAAAAATCACAATCAAAATATTTTCAGGTTTATTAAACTCATTTGTTTGATAAAATTTTATATTTAAAAGTTATAACTGAATCAATATCAGTCAAAGTCTGCAAAGTTTGAAGTTTCTTGAGTAAGTTACATCAGATTTTTGACAGACCATAACTTGGTAAATAAAAATGGTGACCATTTGTAATTTTGTCTAGTAATAATTTGTCCCCAATACAATTCTTTTTTATAATTGTTTTTTTACAAGAAGCTGCAAGAAGTGATCCTCAGCATTTATTTTGTGATCATCAGGTAATACATTAAGTTTACAAGACATTTGTAATTTTTATGCTGTGATAATGTATCATGAAGTATTTGCTGTTTAGTCATAATAAGGATAGTAAGAAATGATACAACAGTAAACAGATGTAAGGTTGCTTGATCTGCTTACCTGTAAAACACTTACATAAAAAAACTATACTTTCTGCAAAACTCATAAGAAGAAGATGAATGTATTGGTATGATGTTCATTTCATCTTCGAAGTAGGGGAATGTGCTTTTTTGAGGTGGTGGTGACAAAGATCATACAAATTTTTACTTGTGTTTTAAAAAAGTTAATGATGCTTGTTTGGACTATTACAGTGCAATTTGATCAGTTGAAATCGATTGCTTTAATGTGATCTGGTCATCAAAATCATTCTTATCATTTAAATTAACTTAGTAGAAGTTAACTGTGTAAAATATCTTTACTAAAAAGTTGGAACATAAAAGAAAAATGCAGCAGAGATGATATTCCTAATAAAAAAGCACTCTGGTTTAAAGTTTTAAACTTTTTGTTTCCTATAACCTAATTTGTCATGTTTACCCAGATTTTTAAGAGACAATATTGTCTTATCAAGGTCTGAAAAACCACAATTTTTTTCTTCAACAACTACAACCCAACTAACTTTTTTTGTAATTTGCTCAGGTTGGAATTCATTGAGACAGTACAATTTTTTGACCAGGTTTGATTTTCAGTTAGATTGCTGTTGATATGCTGTATGCCTTAATAACTTTTTTCTTGTGGAGTCTCCAAAGTTTCATAACTTATTTTAACTGTCTACATTATTTCTGTGCTTGGGAAGTGAATCTAATTGTTCAAATTTTTTTTTAACTGATTTTTGAGCCAGCTGGTGTAAGTTTAATTAACTTCTAATACATGATTTTGATTTTTGTGACAAATGGTTACATTAAGTATAAAAAAGTAAAAAAAATTTGAAAAAATTCAAAGTATTAAGAACTATTAAGTATAGAAAAAAATTGAAAAGTAATATATGAAGTTAAAAAAAAAAAAAAGCGGTAAAAATCAGCATTAAAATACATAATGAAATTTAAATTAAAAAAAAAAAAAAATCATTTTTAACTTTGCAAGTTAAAATTTAAATTATTCAACAGATGTTTCAAATTGTTTAAGAGAAACTAAAAAAGGAATTTAACAATTTTTTTAAATTAAAAAAAACAGAAAGCTGCTTTGAATATAATAATAATAATAATAATGGAATTAAAGTGATGATCACTTTATCAATATAAATATTTTTGGCAAGTTTAATTAACTTACTTCCTGAGTTTCTTATTAAAGTGAACACAACTTGTCAGCCTGTAAATCCTTTATAACTTATAATACAACCTGTTTAATATAAATATATACTTTTAATATAAATATACTTTTCAATTGTATTAATATAAATATACTTTTCAAGTGTCTCTTTATTAATAATAAGAGAGATATCTCCACACACAACAGAAAAATGAAAAAACGAATCTTCATTATTTTCTTTTTGATTCCTAGGAAAAAATTCCAATAAACAATATTGTGAACAAAATCTAAACAACTTATAAAAAAAAATAAAACCAACAACTTACCCTGAAAAAAATATTAGTTCAAGTAGCAATTGTACGACTCCTGATAGCTTTGATGCATCAAGTCCTGTGACACAAAACACAGATTTTGGACTGCGAAAAGGATGGCATATAGGGAGAACTGCACCTTTAAAAATCATATTATATATATATATATATATATATATATATATATATATATATATATATATATATATACATATATATATATATATATATATATATATATATACATATATATATATATATATATATATATATACATATATATATATATACATATATATATATATACATATATATACATATAAATATATATATATATATATATATATATATATATATATATATATATATATATATATATATATATATATATATATATATATATATATATATATATATATATATATATATAGCATCCTAGTTGCGACTTTCAGGGACATGTTTTATTTGTTCCCATTCTGTTTTTTTTTTTTTACTTTTTTATACTATTTTTATCACATTTATATATTTTTTTTAACTTTTATTTTATTTTTATTTATACATATTTAAATTTATTATTTTATTATAAAAACATAGTTTTTATATTAATTTTTGTTAATTTTATGTATTTATTTTATATTATGTTTCATTTTTAAATTCATCTATTTACAAAAATGATTAATTACAATAATAACCAAATTTAAACCTTGCCATAACCCTAACCCTAAGCCTGACCTTGATGCCCAGCCTAACCAAACCCTCGGTTGATGTAGCAGCACTCCCTTGGGAGTCAGGCTATTTGATAGTCAATGTATGCACTTTTCGTTCTCTATAAAAGTTTCTTATGGGTACATTTTTTTACAAAAAAAAAAAAATGCTTATGGGGACAAAAAATTAAAATGACCCTGATAACGCTAATGTCCCCGTAAGTGTTAGTTTTTTGTAAAATCTGTTCCTGTAAGTGAAAAACTATACAAATATATATACATATATATATATATATATATATATATATATATATATATATATATATATATATATATATATATATTTATCATGTGTCTGCATATATATATGTATATATATATATATATATATATATATATATATATATATATATATATATATATATATATATATTTATCATGTAAAACTTTTTAAATAAATAAAGAACTATATATATATGCTCAGGTTTTTCAAGGAACAATGCATTTATTTTTATCTAGATTTCAAACCTTGAAAATCAATTTATAAAGAGAGAAGATTTATAAAATCGTAAATAACTACTTTAAATTAAAAAATCCCAAAATGAATGATTCATTTAAAGTAGCAGAAAATATTTTTAAAAGAATTTTTAAAAGAATCTTTTAAATTTGATCTTTATAAATGTTTATTATTACCAATTATTTTCTATTTTAATGGAAAGATAGTTAGGAAGTTAGCAAATAGGACTATCAACTTGACAGTAAATAAGACTATAAACTTGACAAACTTGCTGTTTACATCAGGATAGGATAACTTCTTGGAATTTTTTATCCTCATTCTTGTAATGTAAAAACAAATAAAAATGGAATCATAAAACTTTTTAATCAGCATGATATTTCTAATAAATTGAAACGATGCATTTTTGATACAGCCCCTATAAATACTGTTAGCATAAAAGATGTGAGCATTAGGTTAGTCATTAAGATTATTAGACCTCTAGGATGTAAATATCACATCTATAAAAGACATATTGCTCAATGCTGGAATATTCATTTGAGAAGTAGAAGAAACATAAAGAAGCATTTAACCTAAATTCTATCGTGTTAAATAATATTTTTGATAGCAGGAACAAAGAAAAATTTAGCTTTTTCTCAAAACATTATCAAGAATGAAAAAACTATCAAAATTCTGAGTTTCAATTACTCTGTAAAAAAAAAATTGTAATGTATTTCAAATTGTTTAGGATAGATTCAGATAGGATTATTTGGAATTAGCAAAATTGTATTGCTCATCACTAAACAACAACAATGTTATTTTGTGATGAGCAATACAGATTAAGTGAATTTATACTGCTCATAAGTGAATCTGTATTGCTCAAATAAAAAAAGAAATTTTTTGAAAATATGAACAAGATCCTTAGTCTAATGAATTTTGAGAAGAATTTTTTATTTAAATGTATTATTTCAATAATTTAATAAAAATTATTTTTATCAAATGTATTTATTAATTTTAAAAATTAACAAAACATTTAAAGAAATTTTTTTGATTTTTACTGATGACAATACAAAGTTCCAAAAACTGCATTTAAAAAAAAACTCTTTACCTGCATTATAATCTAATAAGGAAACAGATCAGACTTAATATTGTATTCTGATACAAATAATTGTGATCCCAGATTAATGGATTGTTTTTTTTTAAATCTGGATATTTATTAGATTTTTCAAAAAGATTTAAGGTTTGCCAGTTACAAAGTAGCTCATTATTTTTTGTTAACATGGTTTGTTTTCATATTTATATCTATGATATAAATATGAATACTTTTAACTGATGCTTTTTTTTTTTTTTTTTAAATCAACGACAACCCAGGTGCACCAAATCAAGCTTGCTCAAAAATTGTAACAATACAACAATATACAGCCTTTTTTTATGATTAATTTCAATTCACAATAAAATACAAAAATTTTAAGGCTGTAAATAGGTTATCCTATCCTCCTAACTTGATATATGGCAACAGAGACTCACAATATATCGAAATTGTTGCATAATAATAAAATATATCAGAACACCTAAGTGTGAAAATAAGTTTATTTAAAAAAAGAATATAAAAGATTATTGTCAACTCACTTATATCTGGAGTTTTTGGCGAGGAGCAAGCAACCTGATTATCAGTGACACGCTTATGATCTTCATTAAAAATTTTGAAATAATTTCCCAAAACACGCAAAGCAACATTCAACTGATTTTCTTGAACCTAAAAAAATTTTTAAAAAATTCAACAAAACAGCATGTTTTATTATGCATAAAAAACAAAAAACTGAATTTATAAAAATTTAAAAAAAAAAAAAAATTTCTTAACTTTTAAAGAGTATTTTTTATTGTAAAACCAAAAAAAAAATTAAAAACATCAGCAACATCTCAAAAGCATCAGCAACATCACAAGCATCAGCAACAACACAAAAGCATCAACAAGATCACAAAAGCATCAGTAACATCACAAAAGCATCAGCAACATCACAAAAGCATCAGCAACATCACAAAAGTATCAGCAACATCACAAAAGTATCAGCAACATCACAAAAGCATCAGCAACATCACAAAAGCATCAGCAACAACACAAAAGCATCAGCAACATCACAAAAGCATCAGCAACAACACAAAAGCATCAGCAACAACACAAAAGCATCAGCAACAACACAAAAGTATCAGCAACATCACAAAAAAATCAGCAACATCACAAAAAATTCACAAGCTATAACTTTCGAACAAGTAACATACATTGGTTTAAAACAGAAGTAAAACTTGTTATCTAATATTCTATTTACTAATTTTTTATTATTAACTTTAGTGTCAGTGATTTTGTTTTATCTGAAAAAAAAACATGTGTTTTAACTAATTTAATTAATGTTCATTTCTTAATTGAAATTTCAACTTACAAGGATAAAATCAGATTGGTATGTCGAAACGCAGAGAACTGAGATTTTATGGTCTGATAATGGACCTATGACAGATTTTGAAATTTTTGAAATCCCAACTAACTCGTTTGACACACCCATGGCTCCAACTGAAACAGTAAGAACTCGCCATCTGTGATTTGAATTTTTCAGAGAACGGTGAGAAGGAAACTCTAAACAAAAAAATAACTAAAAAACATAAAACAGTTCAAAATCCTTATTAAAAATTAAACTAATAATAATCAAGTGCATTAACTATTAGATTGAATTTAAAAACTTGGTACATATTAAAAATGGATAATTTTGCATATAAAAGTTTTATTATGTTGTTTTTTCACACAAAAACTAAAGGCTCGTGTCTTAAAGTTAAAGGGCTGAGAGAGCTATTTCTATAAAATAAAATAAATGAGCATCCTTCTTAACCGTAGTACCTCCTCCCTCCACACCATTGTGAAGATAATAGAGTAAGTAAAATTTTTTAAAAAAAGGAAACTGTTTTATAACTTTTCAAAGCATTAATAGATGCATATCAACCTTTTATTCAAAGGTTTCCATTGTTTATGAGTGATGTTGTGGCATAACTACAATATTTGTTGCTGATGTTTAATAATCTCCTTAATGTCTTGAAGCTATGGTAATCAGTGCTTTCTACTAAGTACTGCAATTTATGCACTCTGTCGAACTTTAAGTCAAAAACAGCAACATCAATAATTTTCAGTTTTAAAATTTTATTTTATTTGCATAAACATTTTTGTTGTAACTTTTCTATCAGTTTTTTGAGATTTTACCATTTTGCATAATTTCGTTACAATATTCTGATAGAACACATTTATCTACAAATGTATTCAAACTTCATCCAGCAAACAGAAGTATCTGTAACTAAGCACACTAAAAACTTAATGCATCAATCTTCATGTTCTTGGAATTTAAAACATTTAAAGTGAATTGTTAAAAAAATACTGAGCAGTAAATACAAGCAAATATTTGTAATGATATTAGAAAGAAAAATACATGTTATTTAATACTAATAATGAAAATCGTGAAAATCGAGTGATCAATTGAAATAGGAGTGCTAAAATCAAAATATAATAAAAATTTGGTTGAATAGAATTTGAAGAACCAAAACCGAACTTGGAACATTGACAAAATTTAAACCAAAGCCGGCGCTAAAATTTCAGAGTAGAGAGAAAATGACCATTACAATTTGAATTAACTAGATAAAAAAAAAACATAATTTTTTAGAAATTTTATCAAAGATTTTCAAGACTTTCTATACTTGTAATAAATTTTCTTCTGAACTTTTTCTTTAGACTTTTCTTTATTTTAAAGTAAAAATTGTATTTGATACGATATTTTTAAAGTTATGAGTACCTAACAAATCCTTAACTGTGGTACTGAAATATGATATTTTATGTTAGTTATGGGGAAAAAAAAGACATAGCCACAAAAAATTGCCAAGTCAGGACACTTTTAATAAATAATAATTTTTCTCAACTAGAAATCGCCAGAAAATTTGGTACTTTGCAGGTTTTTGCACAAAATATACACATAAAATTACTAATGTGGAGAACTTGATACCAAATAGTTGTAAATGTGGAAAGTAGAGAATCCTAACATCACGCAAGGAAAGTATACAAAGATTGTTCAAGAAAATAGGCAGCCCACCAATAATTAAATAACTGAAAAGCTTGACCAATCTGGGGTCAAAATGTCAAAGACAATTAAACATTGCCTGTACAATCTTGATTACATTTCCTGATGAAGCTAAGAAGCCTAAACTGACACCAAAAATAATACAAAAAAAGCTGGAGTGGGCAAAAAAGTACAGGAATTTAACAGAAGATGGTTGGAAATTAATAAAATTATTTCAAATGATTTTAAAATATTTACTTTCTTACATCAAACTTTAAAGATTTACTTATATAATACTTTAAAGTATGCTTTAGCAACTTTAAGTACTTTTTAAGTGTTAACAAAGGCTCAATACAAAAATAAATTAAAAAAAAAAAAAAAAGGAAAAATAATAATTGAACTGCATCAAATATATAACAATTAAATGCACATAAAATAGAGTATAATTGCTAACATAACTCTAAACGTTTTAGGTTTCTGAATAACAAATAACTATAAACTTTTTTTGCACAAGAAATATTGATACAAATCTTTTGTTTGAATGGTTAAAGTAATGAGGTTAAAAGTTTTGAACAAAAAATTATACGAATAAGTCAAACTACTTTACTAAAATAAAACTTTCTTCCAAGTTATGAAATATATTTCAACTTAAAATGTTAAACAAAACAAACTATAAGAATAAATTCTAATCTAACTCTTTTTAAATCTGTTTCTAATTTAATAATAGCATTTTCCAACTGCTCAACTTTGTTTTTCCTTTACTTTTAAAACTATTAGCGTGACTAATCAAAGAAGTTTGTTGCATATTCTCAATAAAAAGCTCTTTGTTGACACTAAAACCTCCCTCAACAGCACATTGGCTGCGAGGTAAAGTAAAAACTGCAAACTACAGATACAGACTTTCCTTAATAATTCAAAATGTTTGTTCCCATTCAAATAAGGCATTAAAAACTTGTTACTTGTTATAGTGCATTTTTAGGCTATTGAATTGCCTGAACTCTTCCTTTTTTACTGTTACAACAGATTTTGTTAAGTCCTCAAACTGATTTTTGGCAGAATCAGCTGTTTGGGCGGATTTCAACTTTGATCTAAACCAAGCAAAATCCCAAACAAGCAAAAGACCAAAACAAGCAAATCCAACGTCTTTGTTATTAACCATGTTACTTGGGGATATACATGCTGCATTTTGCACTAACATATACTTCAAAGAACTTATGCGGTAGTGCTGTAGTGGTAGAGTGCTTGCTTCACAAACGAGTGGTTCTGAGTTCGATCCCCACCACGTCCCTGGTAGTACCGCGCTCAACTCGTTTCTCCGCGCAGCGGCCTTGTTTGTCAAGGTTCGTGTTTCGGAGTTATAGAGTTGAGAGAGGGTTATAGCCACAAATAAGTAGCCTCCTCATCTGTAGTGGCCTTCTCGGCCTTGAGGAGGTGAATTAAAATAAAAAAAAATAAAAAAGAGGTTCCCAGTTCGATCTCCACCACGTTCCTGGTAGTACAGCGCTTAACTTGTTTCTCCGCGCAGCGGTCTTGTTTGTCAGGGTTCGTATTTCGGAGTTATAGAGTTGAGAGAAAATTATAACCACTATTAAGTAGCCTCTTCATCTGTAGTGGCCTTATCGGCCTTGAGAAGATGAATAACAAAAAAAAAATAATAAAAAAAAAACTTCTTTCTTGCAGTTTTTCAATAATTTTAATCAGCATAGTAATGCAATCTTCTTTATATTTATGTTTTGCATTTTCTGTCACATCTTTAGAGTGTAAAATAATCTTGACTGCTGCTCCAAGGTGTATTTCATTAGCTGTCAATTGATTTCCCTTTTTTACACATGAGTGGAGAGCTAAAGCAAGTTTTTTGTCAGCATTTCGTCATTCCTTCAATGGTTTATTTAATTCTGTGGCAAAATTTTTGCATTAGGTTGTTTTAAAAATTTTGAATCTAAATAACGAGTTTCAACAACACTTGAGGACTCATTCCAATAACAAATTATAATATTCATCTGTTTCTCTTGAGGTATATGATTCATAGACTTATCATAGGAGACAACAAAAAACAGTGATAGCTGAACTTCCTTAATTTATACATATTTTTAAAATAAGCCTACATTATTCAGTTTATTAAATAGCCACATTTTGTTAATAAAATCTTTAATCAATAAAAAATCTTTAATTATTTGCATTTAACTTCAACTTTTTAGAATTATCTGTAACTATAACTTTAAACAACTCACTCAATACATGATCCAAGTGAATAGTGTGACACAACAACCTTAAAAGCCCACAGTATTTCTGCATTAAGAGTTCAGGCAGGAACATGATAGGATTCAATAGATTTTGGAATCTTTGAAAGTGCTTCAAATGAACAAGACTTTTCTATTAGAAGTGGTTGTCAAAAAAAAACACTGCTTTTGATTTCTTTAGTGTTTGTCAGATGTTTCTTACCCAAACCATGACTTTTTAGATATTTATATTGTTGATTCATAGTTTGCTCAAAATAATAAATTTAGTATATTTATACACAACTTCTTTTTAAACCTTTTGTGTATATTTATACACAACTTCTTTTTAAACATAATTACATAAATCATTACCCTTTACTTATGCTACTAACTAATGACATTCACTTATTCAGTGATCATCCAGGTCATTTTTTAAAAATCCGGAAAATATAGTTAAAATAAATATATAATATAATATATAATATATCCGAAAATATATATAGAAAATATAATATATAATATATCCGGAAAAAGATATTCCCTGCTTATTGCAATTGACATGTTCTTACTAGGGTTTTTCAAGGTGTTTTCATTACAACCTTTTTTACAGCCATTTATTTTACAAACATTCACTCCAAAATAAGGTTTTAAAACATGGCTTTAGAGATAGCAGAAATCATTTTGAACAAAACTGCAAAAAAAAAAAAAAAAAGGATCAGAGTGTTTTTATTAACAATTTTCCTGAGACCAGGAATGTTGCAAGGTAAAAATCACACATAGGTGGCCTTACAAAAATAACATTTATTTTACAATAAATGGTATACACTCTGTATGTACTCAGCTGTATCTCAAGGATTAAGCCTGTAACCTTGTCGATATGCTCTAGATGTCCATATGCTCTAAGCCTGTAACCTTGTCCATATGCTCTGTTTTTTCAGTAACATATTTTTTCAATAAAGTACTTAAATTAAATATAAAAGTATTAATAAAATTATAAATGTACTTGACAATATTCAAGAATGTACTTATTCTTATTTTAAAATGAACTTGTCAACAATAAAAAATAAAGTGACAACAATCGATATAAAATATTTTATTTTAAGAAACAAAAATTAAATGCCTATCATGCTGTTAATCTGTTTTGTGCTGAGTTTTTTATTGTGACTTGGGAAGATTAAAATCCATAGTTTATGAGCTCCTCCTACCCTTACCCAAAACTAAAATAAAATAAAAATAAATCCATGTTACATCTTACCAGTAGCAGGGTGACCTGACCTGATTATAATTGATTGATTGATACAAATTCAAACAAAATTTAAAAA